GTCGTTGCCAAGCGACGAAAACCCAACCCCGATGGCAAACACCAGGGGACCAGATGGGGGGTGGTAATTTTTCGCCAACCGGGGTAGCTTGTCCTTCCTGCCCATGTTAGGACAATAGTTGCAACGGTAGCAATGCCCCCCCCCCCCCCCCCCCCCCCCCCNGAAAACCGGGGGGGCGGCTTGTTTTACAACGTCGTTGCCAAGCGACGAAAACCCAACCCCGATGGCAAACACCAGGGGACCAGATGGGGGGTGGTAATTTTTCGCCAACCGGGGTAGCTTGTCCTTCCTGCCCATGTTAGGACAATAGTTGCAACGGTAGCAATGCCCCCCCCCCCCCTCCCCTCCCAAAACCGCGTTGCGGCGATCGAATTGGTCGCATCATGCCCCCGCCCTTCACCGACAGAGATCAATCTCGAGGATACAGCTCGGGAACGACCCGGACCTTGCGCTCGGCAATAGCGCCGAACAGATATTCTCTGGCATCGTTCGACTGCACAAATGCAGCATCCACCAGGAGCTGAAAGAGGAATTCGGGCCCGCGGTGGAGACGCTGCTCATATTCGTGGTGGTCGACAGCGTGAGCAGGCACGCCCTCCAAAGTTTCAAGGTTTGTCGGAGCTATCGGAACCGAACTTAAAGCTTTCAGAACTATATGAGCTGTGATGTTGGCTTCTTTTGAGCGAAAACATACCAACGACGCAACAACAGTACTGGGACAAATTATGGCACCGAGAGAAGGTTGAAAACCACAACTACACAGCAAGTCAATTGTTTTTTCATGTAGCAGTTCCAACTCTCGAGGTACCTCGAGGTAACACCTTTCTGTAGGCGGTGCGTAGTCCTCCTTTTCGGAAACAATAAAAAACTCCTATCGTACGGATGCGAGGAGCTACTGAGTAGAGATCGAAACGGATTTTTAGACAATCGTAACAACATCCCCAGCGATGTTCTTTTGTGATTTATGCTCTCGCATTTTTTACCGCTGCTCTACGGTAGGGGAGACAAAGATTCCCGTACGAACCAGGGTAAGAGATGTCACGGGGAGACAGCAGCAGCAGCAGCAGCAGCAGCAGCAGCAGCAGAGTAGATAAGATTGGGTGCTTACGCTAACGGCCTGATGGGCAATCGATTATGCTGAGAATGCGTTATTGCCGGTGCCGCTCTGCGTGTTCCTCCGCCGGCCCGCGTCATCACAGGGGGCCTTCTCAGCCCGCGCGGAGATAAACCGTCAGGCGTCCGCTGCCGGCAGGCCTCGCCCCAAGTTCCTACCCTCTGCCGCCGCAGTCGCTGCCGCTGCCGCCACCGCCGCCGCCGCCGCCGCCACTGCCGCCACTGCCACCAACCTCGAGGCCGAACGCCCGATGGTCTACCAAAACCACCAACAGCAACGGATCCGAAAGGAGCTGCAAAACCATCACCATCACCGCCACCAGTCGGGTCTCGGCGTCGTGAGGAAGGCCGCAGCTGCGCAGCGAGCGGCGGTGGTTGGCTCGAAGCCACGGAGAGCGACTGCGTCGCCATCGAAAGCGAAGGCGGTGAAGGCACCAAGGCTCTACAGAACGAAATCGGCTGGGAGTGGTGGCCACGGCAGCGGCGGTAGCAGTAGCGGCGGCTCCACCCCTAGGGAAACCGGTCGCTATCGGGGGGCTGGGGAAGGCGGGGGCTGGAACACCGTGAGGCCACCGGAGGAGGATAGGAAGGGGCTGCTCAAGGTTGGGGGAGGTGTCGGGCGTTTAACGGGAGCAAGGGGCGAGGGGTGTTTCTTGGGGGTCTGGTGGGGAATAAGGGTAGACGGCAGTACAAAGTGAGTGGCGGTCAGACAACTTGGTCGATGGTTGTTGCTGCTAGTGCTGGTGCTGCGATCGTCTTTTTTACCCTGCGTTGTTCGATGATGGATGCACGCATGAAGGACAACTTTGCTTTGATTTGTTTTTTTCATCTCGCCGTCGTTTCTCGCTGCTTTTTTTTGTTGTGTATCTCGTCTCCGAGTGTGCTTCGAGCACGTTTCTTCCTAACGTACGGTCTGGAAGGCGACGAAAACCAGACAGTGTTTTCGGGGTTGCATGCATGACACCCTGTTTCTCGATATTTCCAACAGATGCTGCCGCAATGTTTCCTGCTACTACTGCTGCTGATACTGCTGTTACGTGGCTCACACCTAGCGCCGCTGACGAGAGCTCAAAATAGCTTCGATGTTTTTCTCCCGCTCTTTCTCTCCTCATCGTCGTAGCTGCCGTGGGACGGCCTAGATGTGGTCAGCGAACAAGCCAAGCTCGTTACCGACGCCAGGGTGCAGCTCATCGAAGAGCGTCGGTTTCGGCCCAGCTTTGTGCCCCCGCTCTCCCCCCGAGACTACCAATATTCTTCCGGAACCGGCGGCGATTCCACCGAAGAACCTGGGTCCCCTCAGGGCCACGACGACTCGGAGGAGGCTCAAGAAGACGCCGAGGCTGCTGCCCGGTGGCGGGAGAAGCAGCCTTGGTTTGCTAGGAACGTTGTCGATCACAGGTGCAGTGAAGGCTTGAGGAAGCGAGCACTCACTTCCCCACCAGTTTTGGGATGGGAGTTGTAGATAGAGCTCAGCGTGCGATTCTCATGCCGCGAAACGTAGGGGATGCCTGCGCCCTTGTTACCCATGTTTTGCCTGGGGCGAAAAATCTTGGGGGCAGGTAGATAAACCCTGATGGAGAGAGGGCTTCTTCCGGACTCAGCAGCACCCGGTCCGGGATCCACGGACGAAAACTTTCACTTTTATCGTGGTCGCTGTTTTTATGGATTTACGTCCACGCACGCCGCTCCATCTCTCCCTGCTCCTGTCGGCCTCCGACCCTCCTATGTCCCTACCGCCTCTTGTTTTGCTGTGCTCGGTGACCGTGAAGGTCGGCGTGGTGCGGCCTGAGGGACGCCGGAGCACGCGCGGGGATGCGGAAGGTGTTGCAGCCCCGCCCCTGGGGCGATGCGCTTGCTCCCTCCGGAGGTGGCCAGGAGGCCGCCAATAGCCAAGTCTTGGAGGTATGAATACCGACGCGGTGCTGCCGTTTTTTTGTGACGACACGAAATGTGGCCGCACTACTTCGTGACACGGCGAGGTGTCCTGTGGTGGCGAGGGGGGAGGGGGGGGGGGGG